AATTTTATACGATCCGATAAAAGTTTAAGATTAAGAAATATTTAAGTATATTTAATATATTTTTAATTTAAAATAACTTTACTTAGTAAAATTTCATGTCAAATCGAATAAAACAAACAAATTGAAATAGACAGCATTGTGTTTTATCTTAAGACTATACACTTCAAATTAAATCATTTTAATGAGTGTGTTAGGTTAATAGGAGCCGACTAATATGAAACGGAGTTAAAAAATTTTTTGGAGAATCTAGCTTATTAGACATACATTCATACGATATATCCTAATTTTATATATACTTTCAAATAAATACATATTTTATCTTTATAAAGAGTTCACTACCATATATATATTGAAGTAGATATATAGATAAATGTATTTTTACATCAGATATACGTAAAGGGGGAGGGAGACGAGCGAGATGAGTAAGATAGTCATGTATTATATGTACACGTGAATCTCATTAAATACGCATTAGATACATGTATATGGTGTGATTTGCATGTATGTGGAATATCAAATACATAAAGAGTGACAAATGAAATGGCAGGGAGGCGCGGAAGGTGATCGAGATTTGTTAGGTATCATATGGATTGGATCTTTAGCTCTTTGCTTCTCATGTAGCCTTGTTACGTAAGGTATAGTTTTGGACAATGAAAAAACAGAATAAGATGGAGCCTACCTACTTAATTCGAACGAAGTAGATAGATCAAAGGAATAAAATTCAAGTGGCTCTTATGCCACTTTTGATGGTCTCAAGAGCAAGATTTGCTTGGGATTTCTTCTCAAGGCATCTAATATTGGACAATTGTAATTGCTCCTTTTAAAATCATACTTTTAGGCTGTATAGAAAATGCTTATCAAGGAAATATACCTAGCTCTAGTTACTTTACCATATTAAAGATAAAAAGGGGAGCCTGATGCACTGAGTTCTTGCTATGCATGGAGTTCATAAATGATCGGACCACAAGGGTCTATAGCACACTGTCTAACTTTGCATTTCTCCGAGAGACTATTTCCATATAAATTGACCATATTTAATCCCACAGCTTTGCATATAGTAACTTGCTGTCACAATCTATTATACAAGTGAATAACACCAAATGTGCAAATAACTTTGACATTATATTTCCCTTATGCATATGTTAGTAGTAATCTTTCCAATTTTGAACTCAAAACACAGACAAAAAGAATGTTAAACCTCAATTGATATTCCTTCAAAAAGTGGCCTAAACCTTCCTTGTTCATGCAATGTATACAGCTTCAACAATGCATCTTCCTCTAATAAACAACCTTGTGGACACCACTTTCCTATCCTAATTCGAAGAACATCACATGAAACTTCTCTAACAGAAATCAAGCTATTATGCAAGTACTACTAAGGGTTAGTGGTGGAGTGTGGTATGTACGTACTCCTCCATCCTTAACCAGAGCATGTTCGCAGGTTTGAGCCATGAGTATTGACTCAGAATGCATTCGAAATGTCCCTTTCGAAGAACATAATCAAGTTATTATACAACTACTATTAAGGGTTGTGGTGGAGTGTGGTATGCACATACTCCTCCATCCTTAACCAGAGGTGATCGATCGTGTAGCTATGTAACCACACTTGTTAGGGAACTCTTTACCCTCGTAAGTGTGGGACTTTTTAATGTGAATCTGAATTTAGTCGAGCTCCAATGCAGGTACTGTATACAAGGTGGGAAGGCAAAAGAACTATACAAGAAATGAATAAGCTCTTTCATCTTTCATTTCAAACACCAAACATGCAAGAAACATGACACTATATTACACCCTCAAATGTGATGAACTGTAAAAATGAACAAAACAATCAATTGAATAATTTCAACAACAATAAGGACATACAATCAATCCATTTTCATTACATTCAGGGCATTTCATCGACTCAACCTCCTCCTCATCATCATCGTCAAGAACAATTTTCCGACTTCCATTGCACTTAAAACACATAATAAACCTCATTCCTGCACACCCTTCACAAGGACATTGAAAATTATCAATTGGAATCCCTTCAAGAAGTGGCCTAAACTTCCCTTGTTCATGCAATGTCAATACTTCATCAGCTCCACCAATGTATCTCCCTTTGACAAACAGCCTTGGAGGGACAACTTTGCCATCCAAGATTCTCCATAACTCCTCCTTAAACTCAGAATGCATCGATATATCCCTCTCGAAGAACACAACACGAAAATTCTCTAATAGAAATCGAATACTATGACAGTCCTCGAATGTCTTTCGTATCCCTCTAAGGCCTGTTGTGTAGAGGATTACTGAATCACATCCTCCTGGTGGACATTTCTCTTCAAATTCCAATAAGGGGTTTACAATTTCCTCGAGTTTTCGAGCTTTTAAAGGTGGTTCCTTTTCTTCATCATCTTCTAGTGGTTTGAAAATCTTTTCCTCAATCTTCGCCTTTCGCTCTTCTTCTTGAGCTTTAACTACCATCACTGCTTCCTCAAACAAAGCAAGAAGATTAGGATCAAACAGAGTACCTGAATCCAAGTCGGGACGCCTAAAATTCGATACATCAAAGTCTAATAAAGGGGTAGTAAAATTCTCTTTCTTTGGCTGCAATGGGCTGATAAAATTCTCAATCTTTTTCACATTTACAACAACAGGCTTTACATTCTCTTTATCCTCTTCGATTTCCATTTCTTCATCTTCAAGATCCTTCATTAGCTCAGAAACATCAATAATCTCAGCTTCTTGATCTACTACACTGCTCTGAACATTCTTCTGAACAGGGGTTAATGGAGATTGACAGTTAAATCTCGAAGAATCTGATTTTCGTGGCGAAGAATGAATATACCCATCTGATGCATTTGAAAAGAGGATTCTTTCTGGTTTCAAATACCCAATTGTTTTCATTGTCTTCAATTTCTTCAGAAGCTTCCCCTTCATAGTCTTCATTTCTCGAAATCCCCAAACTGTAAGTACTCAAAATCTGCAGATTTTGAAAATGGGGTTTTGAAAAAGATTCAAGATTTGGGATTAACAATGACAGATGAGTATTGGGTAGCAAAAATCTTGGATTTTAGTGAGTGAAATTCATGTTTTGATGTACAGAGGAGAAAGAAGATGATGCTGAGGTGTGTTAACGGCTAGAAACTGCTGAGTGGCACTTTTTTTAAATTTGAAAATTATTTTGTTTGGTGGAATTATTATTATGATTTTAGGGTACATGAGTAGGAAATTATACACCCCTAGGCTAAATAATGTATACTAACATGTGCTTTTTTCTCTTAGGGTCGAGGAAATGATCAGTTATGGTCACTTACGATTTTGAATAGAAGAAAATGACTTGATAAATTTTATCGTGTGATACTTTTTAGTTTTTGAATGTGTAAACGTTATTATTTCTTGTAAAAAACGTAAAACTAAAGATATGTGCTACTTGGTATCGTATGTATCTCACATCATAACGAGGGATGAGATCTCTGAACTCAACTTAAATAATTCTCCTAAGCTATCTTTTGGGTTGATTTAGGCCAAAAGTCTATTTAACGTAGTATCATCGTCAAGTCCCCTAATATGGGCCTCAAATAGATTGTTCACACTCTATAAGAACTTAATCGACCAAACTTTTGGAACGGAGGTAAGCTCAAAGTTCATTTAACAATTTTCTTTCTCTACACATTACCATCGAGGGATACAATATAATTATGAAAAAAATTATTCTTAATCAAACATTTCGAGTTTACGTAATACGTCGGAACAATGAGGTTCAAATAGGGAAGAAAAAAATGCATCTTCCCTACTAGCAAGTATGCAACATTGACAAAGATTATTTGACTTTGTTTTGGACTTTGGGAGGGTGTAGTAACGGTAATAATACTATTGGAGGGGCCTTTCATGCCTTTTTAGAAGAAAAGGTACCAACTTATGAATTCTAATGTTTTATTCTAATTACTCGCGAAGTAGTTGAGTTGGTTAAGAAGGAGATATTCACGAGCAGTCTCAAGTTTGAAGTTTTCTATATCTATCAAATTCGTTGCATAAAATTTATCTAGTACAATTTACTTTTCGTACATAGTTTATGAACTATTACATTCTTTAAAAATAGGATATACCAAGAAATAATTGAAATTCAATGACCTTTTTTCATTGACCGTCTCAGTAATACTATAATAGAAATAGTTTTTAGCGGTAATAAATATGTACATTAATAAAGAATATTAAAGTATTTATAAATATTAATTAATTGTCATTAAACTTAATGTTATTATAAACTTTAAAAACATTATGTTAAATACCTTTAAAATATATATATTTATCGACCATAAAGTTATTATCTGTCCAATTTATTATTACGGTCTGACAACAATTATAGGAAAAATCATTATTGACAATAAAAGCTAAATAATGGTGAATAGGCACACATGCTGACAAACAACATAAACATTATTGACCTTCAAATTTATCTAATTGATTTATATATTATTTACAATAATTTCAAACGTGCTATTTAACCAGTGCTATTTAACCATTTAAAGGTCCAAATATGTTCTTGAATAATTGAATTTTTTTAATTATAAATATATATGACTTTTATCGTATTAGACCATTTTTTTCACAGAGAAAAACCTTTATTGATGGGCATATTTGAGACATTTATAAGAAAAATTACAAAAAATAAAAATTTGGTAATTTTTCTCATCTGTTCTAATTTTGGTGGAAAGAGTTATCAGATATCAATTATTGGTAAAAGGTGATATATATTCGATAAAATTAATCGAGATATACGAAAATTGATATAGACACCACAATTACAATTTCCCTAAAACTAAACAAAAACTATATTAATTTATTTTTCGATGACAATAGCTAATAAGTTATAGATCTGTTTAAAAAAATGAACAACTAATATAAAACGGTAAAATTTCATAGTTTTATTGTGTCACAAACAGTTACATTATATCCTCTCAAAACTTCTCATTTTCATCAACCGTTTTTACAACCATTTTAATTAATCCCCTCATCTCTTTTTTTTTTTCATTTTTGTTTCTCCCAAAGAAATATCAATAATGAAAATGCAAAATCACCAAAATTTATTGATAAAATTTTCATTATTATTAATAATAATATTGCATCATGAATCATATGCTATGCAACATTTAGTTGGAGATTCAATTTGGACTATTCCTCCTACAAATAATTTCTACACAAATTGGTCTTCTTCCCAAGTTTTCTTCCCTGGAGACACTCTTTGTACATCTCTTAACTTCTTACTATATCTCCGTCCCGTCCCAATTTATCTGACACCTTTCAGATTTTTCGAGAATCAAAACAAGTCCTACTTTAACCGTAACATTTTTCTACATATATTAAATCTAACACCTTTTCAGATCTTGAGAGTCAAATGAATTTTTCTATTCTCAAATATATGACCTATGTTTGAATTAACATTAATTATTCTCGATATTCAAAAAGTGTCACATAAATTAAAACAGATAGAATATCTCTTCATTTTACATTTTTTTTTGTGATGATTCTTAAATGTTTTTTTTTTTGGTGTATAATATATGCAGATTTTCAGTTTGATCCAGAATTTTATAATGTAATGCAAGTATCAAGAAGAGAATATGGTTATTGCACATCAAATCAAGCTTATAAGGTATTTAATGATGGTCCATTAAATATTACATTGATAGAGTCTGGGGTATTTTATTACATGTGTAACATCTTAAATTATTGTGAATTAGGCCAAAAATTTAGTGTTACTGTCCTTCAAAATTCATCCAATAACTATGTCCCACCGCCCTCGACTTCTTCGTGAGGTGTATTCAGAATTTAAAATAATTATTTCGACTTTTGAGGTTTTTAGTATTGAATTCGTTCTATTTTTGACGTTATGGTTTTGCATAATTATAAGTATGTTCCATATTCTATTACTATATATGTAAAAGGTTTTACATAATGATATAAACAAGAGATGTTTAATACATTAATTAATTGAGATTAATTAAAGATTGTGATCTATCAACAGAATTTAAAATTATAAAAATTTGTCAGAATATAATATCTTTGCATCATCAGATCTCTTACATTATTTGGTTTTGGAATTCATGAAATTTAAACCACTTGTTTTTATAATTTTTTTTTGCAGCTATCAAAGCCATCTATTCTATTAACAAATTGATTAAATGCATGATTTGTTTTATTCCTTATTTATTTCTTTGATTACAACTTTGCCTCTTTTGTTTTGTGTTGTCATACATATGGAAATTAATTCACATTATTGTGTGGCTCTTTTCAATGTATCATAAGTGGAACAATAAAGTAAACATGCATGAACACAATTGGCTCAGTTTCGGTGAAACGAGTTATCTGATACTACTAGTTTTTTGGATAAGAGTAGAAAAATTTCCAATCAATTTGCTACGACAAGTAAAAACTAACCTGAACACAAACAAATGAACATAAAAAGAAGAAAAATCTTCTATATATCTTCTTGAATGTTCAATTAAAATTATATATATACAAAAGAGATGTATAAATAAAATTCAATCTCTTAACCAGTTCAGAGTTCATAACGTTTAAATTGTGAATCATGTAGTACTGACCTCGACCGAAGGAGATGAGAGTGAAGAATTTCTACAAATAGGGCAAGTGGGGTGTAACCTAAGCCAAGTGTCAATACACATGAGATGAAAAAGATGACCACAATGAGGCAATAGCCTAAGCATATCATTGTCTTTATAATCACCCAAACAAATTGAACATCCACTACAAGAAGATGCAAAATCCCCTTTGTGAGACTTAACTTGTGAATATAATAACTTTGGATAACTCCTCAAAGTTGCTTCATCAAGACCTTGTTGAATGAAAATCAATCCATTTCCGACTCTTGTAACAGTAGTAGTTGTGCTGATAGAGATGGTTGGATTATTGCGTGATCGAAATCGAATACATAAGTAAGATGTATAAGTCAAGACTATGAGGATTACCATGATTCCAAAAGAAAATACAAAACCATAGCCATAGTAGTTAAATTTGTCTTCACCTAATTGATCTTTTAAACCTTCACTCACTTTACCACCTTCCATTTTTGTCCTTGATAAGAAAAAGTGTATAGTTGCATAAAAAGAAATTTTGTGGAGAAAATATGGAGTTTTTAAATTTTGGGATTGTATGGAATATATAATATTAGTTGTAGAAATTAAATTTATATATGTTGGGGTAGGGGGTATTGGGGGGGGGGGGGGGTAAGGTGAGCAAGCAAGTTGATCCCATCACTAAATAGTTCTTCCCAAGATTGTGACTTGGCTAGTTGGTGCCTTTTGATATTTTACAGTTTTTTTAAAGAAAAACAATACTTATTTTACCAAATTAAACAACAATAATAAGAAGTGTAAAAAATGAAAAAAAGAAATTCTCTAATGACATTAACTTCAAAAACTCAAAGTTAAAAAAGGTAAAATGATAAGTATAAAGTTAATAATTTTCCAAATTTAAAGATGCAATGTATCTTTTAAATAGGCTAATAAGAAAAGTGTATTTATATGTAAGGATAAGAATAAATAATACAACTGTTTTGGAACTATCCAATTGTTTTTTATTCCAAAAAAAATAAAAATGTCATTATCTAAATTATTGTTGAAATTTACTTTCCTTCTATTACTATCATTTAATATTAATGGTAAAATATTTAAATTTTTTTTATTTGAGTTTAAGAATATTTTATAATTTTTACTTTCCTTTCAGATTTAGGTTTTATATAAATTGCAAAATATTTATTTTTCTTTTAATTTAGTACTTATCTATAAGGAAACTTACATATTCTTCTTATTTATTTTTAATTGCTTATAGAATGATGTATATTTTATTTGTTTGAATTAATAAAAAAAATTGAATTTTCAAATTTAAGATTTATCTTTATTTATGTGTCTTGGTAAATGTATTAATAAATATATAGGAGTAATGAACTTGATTAAATTTTTAAAGGTTAAGTTAATCTAACCAATCATAACATTATGTGTTCGTTCTCCTAACCTATGAATTTTCTAAGCTGCGTAATTAATCATTAATATTAATAATAAAAAAATTAAAACGATAAATATTTAAATCAATTATTTCTATTAAGAACGTTCACAGGAAATATAAGTTTATTGGTGCAGAAATTGTGATCTTGGACATGCTCTTTTCCAAATATTTCATTTTGAAATTATAATTTTTATAGAATTGAAAAAGAATTTAGAATTTTAAATTGAGATCTCAAATATTTTAATATAAAACTTAAGTCAAGCTTATGTTTATAAAAAGAAGATCCATCATTTTAAATTTTTAAAAAAAAATATTAAAAAGAAAATCCATACTTCGTATAAAGAGATTGTTTGTACAATGTTAAAGAATAATATTTGAAGACTGATAGATCTTTGTAACATTATGTATATTTAAAAGTTTGTAATTTTATGAAAATAACATAGAAATATGTGATTTTACAATGCACCATCTTAGGATATATTTTGATATGTTATTTATAAATTATAATTTACTTATTTTGTAAGATTGTATAAGAATTAAGATTATCGTAACAGTTTTCACAACTTGTGAAATTTTTATATTTATAAAAAAAATATAGCTTAAAAAATTAAAATTGCATATCCAAACAAACATTAAACTTCAAATCAATCTGATTATAATATTACTATTTAAGTTTATTGAAGTATTTATTAGTGATTATTTGCGTATATAAACTACTCAATATAGTGGAACAGTAAAAATTATGTTTCAATAATAATGCATGTAATATTAATTTTATATTAATTTATTCTTTTCAGAAAAGACACTAATTAATTAATTTGATTTAAAACAAAATTGCAGGTGAAACAGATGATGATAATGTTAAAAATTGCAAATCGTTGACTTTATGTCAAAATATAATATCACGAATAATAAAGTTATTTTGAATAAAATAAAAATTTGTTCATAGTTGTTAGTTCAAAGCCAAATACTAAAATCTTAAATTCTTATTATTATGAACAAGACATTTTAATTTTATTACATATCTTAATATTTAAATATGTTTTGAAATTTAAATATTTTTATCTCGATATATAATAACGTTAACGGGACCATACTCATATCACATCTTCCTTTACCAAACAGGACCATATTTGTATTGTATCTTTCTTTATTATTTGAGATCATTTAGTTCGAATATAAGTTATGTTAAAGATAAATTATTATACTAAATTAAGTATTTTAATATTATTTTTATTGATTATTAATTTATTGGTTCCTTTCGAAGATAGTGACTATACTCATGTTATCAAATTTTATTAATTTATTACACATTAAACCAGTTTAGTAAATGCTACTCATGTTTTATCTGTAACAATACAACAGACGAAAAATTAAAATTTATTATTTGTAATTAATTTTTTGATTAAGTGGATTTAGGGATATGCATTGATCGGTGCAATTTGATTTTATGGATTATTGATTTTCGGTGTTAAAATACATTAAACTAATAACCAATTTAATAAGATATTTTTTATCGATTTATTGATTTTAATTCTGAATGGTTCGATTTTCCGTTTAACTAATAAGAAAATACTTATAAAATAAATATATGATTTCTTTGATGATTTTGATGACGACAACACAATAATGTAACCGTACAAATGCTTATAAAATAGAAACGATAAAAATAGACATGAAAAAACTATACAAGAAATACACAAAGAGAAATTGTGAGGAATTAAATTGTATAATGTGAAGTTGTGAACTCGAAACCATTGTAAAGTGTGAATTGAATGGTAAAGAATAAAGACAGTAACTACTTCCTCCGTCTACTTTTATTTGTCATGTTGCGCTTTTCGAAAGTCAATTTGACTAACTTTCGAAGTTACATTAGATTATATTAATTTGATATTTTAAACAACAAATTTAGATATTCAAAAATTGTATGAAAAATACTATAAATTGCAATTTTTTGCATATCAATATGATGATTATACATCTTAAAATGTTAGTCAAAGTGCTTATAGTTTGACTCTAAAAATAGAAACTATTACAAACAATAGTGAACGGACGGAGTAATAAGGTATTGAGAGTAGTACTTAATAAGTAAATTACTGATCTTAATGGGTAATCGGTTTACCCAATAAACCAATATTAAAAATCAATACCAAACCAATTATTTTTATATATAAAATTATTAAAAATCGTTTACTCAATAACAATAAATCAATAATACTTTTTCAATTCTATTTTTATAGTTGGGGAAAGGGTCTGATATACCCATCAACTTTGTCATTTGGAGCTGATATACCCCTCGTTATAAAAGTGGCTCATATATGCCCTTACCGTTATACAAACGGCTCACATATACCCCTGCCGTTACAAAATGGCTCACATATACCCTTCATTTAACGGAAGTTAAAAAAATAGTTTTAGATTTATATTTATTAGTTCTAATTATTTTAAAATAAAATATTTAGGAGTATATATGATTCTTCTATCAAAGTTCAAGGTATATTTTAATTTTTTTCATACATAAATTATTTTTTTACTTCTTTTATTATAATTATTTGAGTTTCTTATTCTTATTTTGTTTTTTCTTTTTACATTCCTTAGTTTAAAGAGAGAGAAAAATTAAACTATTTTTTTGTGTGTATTGTAACTTAATTTCGTATTCGAAGAAAAAATTTGGTCATCTACAATGAGTTTTACAAGAATATTAGTGAAACATAAATAAATTTGATTCAAAATAATAATTATAAATTAGTCATTGAAAAAAAAATTCAAAAAAAATATGTTTGACGAGGATTAAATTTACTCATATAGGATTATATTTTTTAGAAAAAAAATAATTAAAATTTATATTAAAATTTTTTTTTTCATTTCCGTTAGAGAAAAAGGGTCTATGTGAGTCATTTATTTACAAGTAGAGGTATATATGAGCCACTTTCATAACAAGGGGTATATCAGCTCTAAATGACAAAGTTGAGGGGTATATCAGACGCTTTTCCCTTTATAGTTTGATAGTTTGAAAGTACTTGCACCTTCTAGGTTCCCTTGGATTTCCTAATGATTGATGTACTTTGTTTATAATCATCAAATAAATAATGTAATTTAACACAATTTAATTTTGTAGATGATATAATTATATAATTTTGAACGATACCTAAGTCTGCAGGGATCGTAAATCTAAGTCATATAAAAAAATTGGATTTAAAATATATATTAATAGTTAGTTTTGTAAATAAGAAGGTAAATATTATAAGCGATCACATAACTCACTGAAGTATAAATTGGTAGAATAAACATCTCTTGTTCAAACTCTTTACATCGTTGAGTGTATGATACACGAAATCAGCAAAATGGGGTTTACTTGCTTCGGGCTCGTTTGACCTTGAAAATGGAATGTTTTGGTCGTCAGGGTCAACTAGCTCCATAGCTAACGATTTAATTGACGTCCATGAAATATTTGGCAAAAAAGACGTCGGAATTCTGGATTACCAAAAATTCATTGAGTATAGCACACGAAAATTGATAAAATTGGGGGTTAACCTGCTCCTGGGCTGGTTTGACCTTCAAATGAGTCGTTTTAGTCGTCAGGGCCAACTGGCTCCATAATTGACGTCTTAACGGACATCCACAAAAAATTTGGGCAAAAAAGACGTCGGAATTCTGGATCACCAAAAAAGATCATGGACTATGGTACACGAAAATCGGTAAAATGAGAAATTTACCTACTCCGATGCTTGTTTGACTGGCCGTCAGGACCAACTTGCTCCATAGATAACGTATTAAGGACGTCCACAAAAAATAGGGTAAGAAAAACGTCAGAATTCCGGATCACCAAGAATCCATTGACTATAGTACACGAAAATCGATAAAATGGGGTTTACCTACTGTGAGGCTCGTTTGACCTTGAAAATGGGCTGTTTTGACCATCATGGTTAATTGGCTCCATAGCTAACGTCTTAACAGACGTCCATGAAAATTTTGGGCAAAAAGACATTGGCATTTCGGATCACTAAAAATTCATGGACTATAGCACACATAAATTGATAAAATGAGGGGTTTACTTGCTCCGGCGCTTGTTATACCTTCAAAATGGGTCGTTTTGACTGTCGGGTTCAACTAGCTCCATAGTTAACGTCTTAACAAACATCCACAAAAGAATTGGAAAAAAAAACATCGGAATTCTGGATCACTAAAAAAAATTGTGGATTATAGCATACGAGAATTGGCAAAATGAGGGGTTTACCTGTATGGGGCTCGTTTGACCTTCTAAATGGGTTGTTTTGACTATCAGGGCCAACTGACTTCATAGATTACGTCTTAACAGACATCCATTAAAAAAATTGGGCAAAAATGACGTCGAAATTTTGGTTCACCAAAAATCTATGGACTATAGTACACAAAAATCGACAAAATCAAGTTTAGCTGCTTGGGGGCTCGTTTGACGTTGAAAATGGTCCATTTTGGCCGTCAGGGACAACTGGCTACATCTCTAACATTGTAACGGACGTCCACAAAAAATTTGGACAAAAAAGATGTTAGAATTCTGGATCACCGAAAATTCATTGGCTATAACATACGAAAATCAGAAAAATGGAGGATTTATCTGCTCCGGGGTTTGTTTGACCTTAAAAATGGTCCATTTTGACCGTAAGAGCCAATTGTCTCCATAGCTCACGTCTTAACAGATGTCCAAAAAAAATTGGACAAAAAATACGTCAGAATTATGAATCACCAAAAAAGATTGTGGACTATAGCACACGAAAATTAATAAAATGAGGGGTTTACCTGCTCCGGGGTTCATTTGACCAAAAAATAAGTCGTTTTGACCGTGAAGGCCAACTCGATCCATAGATAACGTCTTAACGGATGTCAACGAAAACTTTTTACAAAAAAAACATTGGAAATTTTTGGTCACCAAAAACTCATGGACTATAGTACACAAAATCGACAAAATGAGATTTACCTGCTTCGGGGCTCGTTTGACCTTGAAAGTGGGTCATTTTGGCCGTCAAGACAAACTAGTTCACTAGCTAAGGTCTTTACGGACGTCCACAAAAAATTAGACAAAAAAGATGTCAAAATTCTGGATCACCAAAAATCCATTGACTATAGCACAGGAAAATAAGCAAAATGGGAGTTTACTTGCTTTGGGGCTTGTTTGACCTTCAAAATGGACCGTTTTGGCCGTCAAGGCCGAATAGCACTACATATAACATTTTAACAGACGTCCACAAAAAAATTGGGCAGAAAAGACGTCAAATTCCGGATCACCAAAAAAGATTATGCACTATAGCATACGAAAATTAACAAAATGAGGGGTTTACATGCTCCGGGGCTCATTTGACCAAAAAATGGATCGTTATGGCCGTTAGGACCATAGATAACGTCTCAACGGACATCCACGAAAAAATTGGGCAAAACATATGTCGGAATTTCAAATCACTAAAAATTCATGGACTATAGTACACGAAAATCAACAAAATAGGTTTAACTGCTTCGGAGTTCGTTTCACTTTGAAAATGAGTTATTTTGACCGTTAGCGCCAACTGGCTCCATAACTAACATCCACGAAAAATTTGGGCAAAAAAGACGTTTGAATTCCATATCACCGAAAATCTATGGATTACTACACGAAAATCGATCAAATGAGATTTACCTGCTTCGAGGCTTGTTTGACCATGAAAATGGATCGTTTTGACTGTCAAGGTCAAATGGCTCCATAACTAACATGTTAACGAATGTCCATGAAAATTGACAAAATTTTAACTACTGAACAAATAATCTTTTAACCTGAATTTTCAATAAATGATTTTAATATATATAATAGATTTCTCCATATAAATACAATATCGGTATAAAAGCTATTGAGTTTCCGGGGGAATCACACCTAATTACCTAGATCTTCCCCGACATATTGGATCCTTCAAAGTAATATATTTTTTGAGGAACTGACAAAAATACAATAATAATATCGAAGAGTCTGAGTAACTTAGGGACAAACTAAGTACTCCTAACACATAATTAATTATATAAATGGAAAATATAATCAACTCCTATTGTGGAGGCTTAAAGAAGAAAAAATAGAGGAAATAGCAGAAAACAAAAAAGCAATTAAAAGAATACTGGCAACTAAATATCCTTTGTTTAGAAAAGTTTGATCCTCAGAGTTAACTACAGGACTAATCCCAAAACTTGCTGCAGTTCCTGTGGCTAGTAGGTGTGAAGCAACCTACACAAAAAATAAAAACAAATAAATAAATAATTACAAAAAATTAAATATTAAGTTCGATATTATGTGCAAAAATCCATGTTTATGTATGCTTTGCATAAACTTCTATATACTTCATAATATATTTTTTCAACATATGATATTTAACTGACCATCCTACTGTATGCACCTATGCTCTTAGTAAAACATCGTTAGGCAATAGTAAAAATACTATCACAGTTCTATTCAAACAAAATATTGATCGAAAAATACGTACCTTATCACCATAAAACTCAAAATGAATCCAGAAACGTCCACCAATATTTTGGCCTGAGGCTAAGTGAAATATTGTGAAGGCAATTTGTACAAGTGTGTGAACAAATCCAATCACAATTGTAAAGAGCATATAACTGCATTTTTAAACCACAACCATTACACAAAAATTCAATGAGGATATAATTATTCTTTGTTTTTAACCAAAAAAAAAAAAGTAGAATGAGTAAACAATTACCGATAAGTTAAAATTCGATTTATATTTTGGGTAATCGCAAGGACGATGAGATATACTAGTAGGAAAACAAACGTGAGAACTCTTACAATTAACTTAAGTAATGGTGTAATCTCCATAGGTGATTATGGTTAATTAATCTCAAAAATAAGTTGTTTTATATAGATATAATTTACTTGTATCCACCGGTCAAAACAACAAATCTTATTTCACAAACTTGTTTTTTTCCATCTCACATAATTGCTTACGTGACAAAGTGTTTTTCATTATAGAATTATTTTTTTTAAAAAAAAGGAAATATTTCACTGTTAAGAGAATATACTTAGATGATGTCCGAGTAAGTATATTAACTCCAGAAATTTGAATTTTATGAATTCAATTTTTAAGATTTTTAGTGTTGGATCGTTGTATAGTAAGATTATGGGTTCAAATGAATTCAGTGCCTTTGAAGTTATAAGCAAAATGTGACGGGAATTAAGATACTTAGTGAAGTGAAATCCAGCAATTTTTCTTCGCATTAAGCTCATGTGAGTTTCAAATTGGACTTGGAATTAAAAAGGGTTATTGAATGACATAACAGATCAAAACAAATTCAAATTGCGTAAACATGTAAGCACACTTAGTGTCGGTCTGCATAAGAAAAAATATCCATATCCTTTTACTAGTAACCTACCCACTTATCACAAGATAGCAAATGCCAAATTACTGCTGTGCACATTGGACTCTCTGTGCACCACCAGGCATATCATCATCTTCGTCATATGCCTCTTGGGCAGCTTGCTGCTTCCTTCGCATCTCATCCTCAATGTTCACATCGTGCAAAGTAGTCTCCTCACACTCGTCTAATTCCATATCAGATACTTGCAATTTGGGTTTTGGAGGCAGCACAGCCTCAAGGTTCTTGCACTGCTCTGCTGTTAATGACTCGGGGAAATCAACAGTGAAGTGAATGTACATTTTACCTCTCATGAACGGCCTTTGGTACATCGGCATTCCTTCATCGTTGATAGCCTTAAACTGATCTGCAGAGCCAAAGGAAAAAACGGGGTCAGTATTTCACAAGATATATTCATAAAGCATACATGTGGGTGGGTGCAGAGAGCGGGAGTGAAGGACAGAGAAGACTTAGATATTCATGAATCTACATAGTTGCATGGGCAGAAAATGGAAGTAAATAAAGGATCACAAACACAGAAGGAGTTCAATTGTCATCTTTCTGTCGAACCATATAAACAGGTAATACAGAGGGAAGTACTATTTACTGGTATAAATGGCAACATGTGAGGGTCAAGGCTGGAATCGGCATTGGAAAAAAAAATTTGTTAGGACTGGCACTTTCCCAGAGTAATTAACTGATGATGGAGACTCAAATGCATTAAACAAAATCTTTTAAAGGTCATTAGGGGTTCTTTGGGCCTACCAGGCTTGACAACTTCGCCAGGTTGGGACTTAATGAGCAGCTGTCTGTTGTCTAGGTGAGTCAAGACAAACTGGAAACCACATAGGGCCTCAGTCAAGGTCAATGTGTGCTCAACAAAAAGATCATCTCCCTTTCGCTTGAACTTAGGATGTTCCTTTTGTTGCAAGACAAAAACAATGTCTCCAGTGATGGTATCTGGCTGCAAAAGCACAAATCATGTTCAAGAGCCAGTCATTATAAGCAAATCATTTCTAAAATGTGACCTGCACATATCTTACCGCTTCATCTGCCTCGCCTGGAAATGTTACTTTCTGCCCATTCTGCATACCCTTCTCCACGTGAACTTCCAACACCTTCTTCTCCTGCACAACCTTCTCACCCTTACACTGAGGGCACCTATCTTTGTCACTGATCATCTCACCAGTACCCTTACACTCATTGCAAGGGTGCTGCATCTGCTGGATCATGGATGGACCGAGCTGTCTGATAGAAACTTTCATTCCAGACCCTTGACAGCCAGAACATTTCATTGAAGCACCTGACTTGGACCCTTTACTGAAAAGGGGAACACGACACCATCAGTATCGTAGCATAGCACAAGATGGTAAAAGGCCACTTCACTCATAAATAACAAAATAAAGTTGAAAAATGAACAACCACGCTGTTTTAACTCACCCCTTGCACTTTGAGCACAACACATTGCGAGATAGTGAAAGCTTCTTTGATGTCCCATTGTAAAGATCCTCTAAAGAAACCTTGAGCGGGTGGATAACATCCTCTCCTCTTCTTTGTCTACGAGCTCTGCTGCTTCCACCACCTGAACATCAGAAAAATTGTAAGGAGAAAATAATTGCAGATATGAAAACAGCAGACAAAGAGAAGCGAAATTCAACTTCAAATATATGCAGCAAACATACCACCAAAGGGGTTTCCACCACCACCGAAGAATGATTGAAATATATCAAATGGGTCATGTCCACCACCTCCACCACCCATTCCTTCCTTTAGAGCATCCTCTCCATACTGATCATATATCTCACGCTTCTCCGGGTCACTCAAGACCTCATAAGCTTGAGCAAGCTCTTTAAACTGAAATACACAAATAATCCATCAACTAACAATAACAACCTACTAAGCTTGGGCAAGCTCTTAAAACTAAAAGAACCAAAAGAGGACACCAATCCATCGAGATTGCACATGAATAACACACCATGTCTCTAGCTATATACAAAACATTGTCAAAAACACAACAGTAATTGCAGTTCCCAATTAAACACCATCTCTACATTCTGGATAATTCAAAAGTAACCCTGCCCAATTATTCACAAACTACAAAGCCTAAAACCAATATCCTAGTACACACTATATAGTTTAGCTAATCCAACAGTCAAATTACAGAACCAATGTTGGTACATTATAAGTCCATTTTTTCTTACTTCAATTAAGAAAGCAAAATTTAGAATCAAACTGACATACTCCAACAGTCCAACGGTCCAAATAATCCTGGTTACGCACATAGCTGACTGATTGATTCAGAGTATGAATTATTTTTTATAACTGTAGTGTCAGAACAGGCTTTCACACACCTCAACTAACTCCACAAGATACCTGTCACCCCAACAGTAACGGATAACAGGTAACTAACTAACTACACCAATGCAAGAACAGATGAAAACTGGTCGAACCTGAGACTACATGATTCCTAAACTACTTCATTGACCACCAGGTTACGCCCTTGGATAATCAAAAACAATATTATACTACGCCACAATATAGTTCAGGCTGTTCAGCTAATAGACCGTCTAATTGGTACATTATGTAACAGTTTTATCTACTTCAATTAAGAAAGCATAACTTGATAGAACCAAACGGAATACTCAAACTAGTTTAGGTGGTCAAACCTGAGACTGTATGATTCTTAATCTACTTCATTGACCACAAGGTCACTCTCGGCTAATCTAAGAACACAATATTATTCTAAGCACAATATATATCAGACTGTTCAGCTAATAAGACCGTTCAATTGGTACATAATGTGACAATTCTATCTACTTCAATTACTAAATCGAAATTTAATAGAACCAAACGGAATACTCAAACTAGTTTAGGTTAAATGCACAGTTCATTGATTGATTCATAGTATTTCACAGATCTAAAACATTTCAAAAACCGATCTACACACAAAACTACACCTGATAATCAGAAACTCTACAAAAAACAGTATAAAAGTATATAATTACCTTCTCAGGATCGCCTCCCTTATCAGGGTGATTTTTGATAGCAGCTTTACGATAAGCCTTTTTGAGATCTTCCTGAGAAGCAGCCTTAGGAACTCCTAAGATCTCATAATACTTTGTATTATCGCTCTTCTTCGGTGCTCTTCCAAACATCTTTCGATCTGTTGAACTACGTCAATAGAAACTGATCCGAAACAAACAAAATCAACAAACAGATCTACAAAATTAGCAATCGAAATTCACTACAAAACTGTAAAATTTAATTAATCGATTGATCATTCTTACCGATTGAAAGTTGCGGCGAGAAGAGGAGAAGAGAGGTTCTTGACGGTGTTTTTAGGGAAATGAAGAGGAAAACAGAGAGAAAGGGCTTGGTGAGTGAGATTTCGTGGTTTTATTTGAGTTAAGAAAATTTGAAGGGCTATGATTTGTTTACGAGTTTAGAACTTTCTAGAATGGTTCATATACAAGAAAAGTCAAAAGTAGTATGCTATACAGTAAGAGGATACGAGTCGTCTGCTTCGTATCGATGGTATTTTTGAAATTTCGAATCTCATTGAATATATTTGGAATTATTGAATTTTTTTATTTTAGAGTTGTTATGTTCATGAAGAAAGGTTAAACGATTGTAACATGAATAGTATATTGATAATGTCATAACACGATTATCAAATAAATAAACTTACATTGATAATCGAAATAAATATTAGTTTCTTCGCTTTTACAATATCTTTATCTTTTAGTATTAATCGATCGAATGATCATTCTTTAGTAATTATTATAGAAGTAGAAGGAAAACTAATTTTAACCATGAAGTTTTTTGTCCATTCCTAGCTTCAATAGAAAATATCAAAATTCTGCTAATACTTAAAACTCCGATAAAAATCAAATATGATGTGCTAGTCATGGACGATATCCTCATCATCAATCTGCTGAATCAATTTATCAAATTCAAATTTAAAAATGCGGAAATAAAAAAAGAGAAATATTAAAAAAAAGTATGTAGGATATTAATTTTTCTATGTAAAAACGAAATAATATTACGTAGCGGGTTCATGTAGATTACACCAAATATGATTTTGTGAAAGTTTGTAAGGATATATATTTTACTATTGAAATATTTAGAGGGTGATAGGGTACTCGTGGGGTATATATGTTTGTGTGTAATTGAAAATATGATAATAGATTTTAAAGTTTAAATGAAAAAATAAATTATAAGTTATGTATAAACCCATTCAATATTCAAAAGATTCTTTATTGTTATCGTAATTTTTGTGATCGTATATACACTGACATACATATAACATATGTGTGATATTAATTTAAATTTTGACCCAAATCTCATCGAATTATGTGAAACTTAGAGATATAAATTTCTCATGTTGTTAAATTTTTTGAACATGATTAGTTTTATCAAAATTTCAACTTTGAAGCATCATTAATTCTCAAATTTTAATAGTTGAAAGAATGTTATACTAATAAATTTAGTTTGTGAAATAATTAAAGAAAAACATGGTAGGATGATTATGTTGGGCTTATTTTGTTTGCTTTTGTGGCTTTTACAGGCCAGGAATTACTTGGGCCTTTCTGTTATCTCAACTTAATCCAACTGTGTAAATAGTATGAAAATTTATATAAATATACAATTAATTTTAGAGCAACTTTCACATATAGTAAATATAGAAATTATATTTGTAT